AGTAAACAAATAATATAAATAAATAATAAAAATGTATCAAATCAATTAATACCATACACGATAAAATGCTAAATAATTATTTAAAAATAAATGCTATCAATAAAAATGTAAAACTTAAATTAAATATCTAATATCTATAAATCCAATTTTTAAAATAGTAATATCAATTGAATAATAAAAGCAATCCTTTAAAAATGAATTAAATAAATCCATTAATTTATATAAATACATCTAGAATTTACTTACTCCAATAAATTAATGTTTACACTTTTGTTTTACAGTTGTTGCCAATAGTATCGGCATAATAAAGGTAAAACCTGCGGCATGCTACAGCTTCAAAGAGGGAGATTCATTCAATCACAGAATAATATTCCCTCATTTATAAAAGTCAAATGTTTTTGTTACCACGCAGGGGGTCTCTGGTCTCCAGGCCGAGGATGACGGTCCCAGGCCCATAGCGGGTTAGCCCTGGCTCCCAAGGAGCGAGAACGTTGTCACCGGGTACTATGCAACGTCTCCGCGCTTCCTCGTACTGGATGATGTCGCCGGATCGGGTCTTCTGCAGCATGGCCGGGTACCGATCCCTCTGCACAGATGGCTCATTGAACTCGATTAGGAAGACCCCGGGCTCCTCCTAGCGGGGACACAAATGATGGTTTGACTTGCTGGATGAGATTATTGAGAGCACTAAAGTTTTACAGAACCCCCGGCAGCATTACACTGGGTCTGACTGGGTCACCGATTGCCAGATTCTGACCACTTCCCGGTATCTCACATCTGAGTATTCTGCAACCAGGAGATGTGTATATTGTGTATTCTCACTTTCAGCCAGCAGGGGGAGCTGTGATCTACCAATCATATGGTTTCTTGTTATTCATTTTCTGCTTTGCCCCCCCCCAAAAAAAATCCCTGCTGTTTACAAAGCTCTATAGCTCAAGATGGATGGTAAACGCTTAGACTGTGACTCCTCCCCCTCCTCCTGCTTCTTGCTCCTCCCCCTCCTCCTTCCTGCCCCTCCCCCCTTCTCACTTCAGGAAGTTGTGTCTAAAGCTGGAATCTGATAGAGTGTGTCTGAAAGGACAGAACTACAACTGTGCTTAGAAAATACAGAGCCCTCTGGGAGCTGTGCATTATGGGCGTACCTGATGTTAAATAGTTATACAGATATAGATAGAGAAATACATCAAACATATTTGATAAATATTAAAGAATACTTTTATTAATAAATTCATTATTTATTTAATAATAATAATTTAAAAAAAGTAATCTATTTATACATTTTTTAAATCATT